GTTTAATCATGTTCTTTGTGCTTTCCGCCTTTTTACTTACTATTCGGACGCCTTTGGATTGGGAACAGTATCACGGAAAAAGAGAAGAGAGAAAAAAAAAATACTAATACAGTTGTTGTAAATAAAATTGATCATTTAGAAAGTTGTGTGGGCCTTGAAACAAATCTATCAAACGTTTCACTCTTGTCATCGACAAATTCTGATAACATTGTAATGTCTTACTATTTATATTTAATTAAAATTGTTTTTTACTTATTTTATATTTATTACTAATCATTTTTAATAATAAATAATAGATTAAAACATCCTCATTAGAAAAAAAACTGATAATTTCTTCTACCATTATATCCAAAAAATTGTATGCGATTTTTTTAATATTTATTGCATTTAATGGCTTCATGCAAAATGCATATAGATATTTTATAGATTCCTTAAATTTAATTCAGCATCTATTTTTTCTAGCGAATCATAAATTTATTTTTGGTCTCTTCCTTGTAGAATTAACGGTATTTTTCACCTGTCAAAATCAAAAATTCGATATTTCGAATGGCACCGTTAAAGTGCCATTTGACATGCTATTCGACTAACGTCCAACATGTCCTTTAACCTACATGGTGCCTTTCAGTATGTCGAATTTTTTAGTTTTAACTAGTGATTTCTTTCATGATGTATTAAAATTTATAATCCACATTTGTCACATATAGTATTATTTCTTTATACTAATAATTGTCATTGGGTATGTGATGTTTGTCCGTTTTGATACTTTCCTTACAAACCATTACTTTAAGAAACCTGCTTGGATATGCTGAATACTTGCTAATAATATTATTGCGACAATACGAACTGAATTATTAATATCAAACAGTGAAATTAACATCGATCTTAAAGATAGCAGTTTTTCAAACATTATTCATATCTTTTTGACTGGATCAATATGTGCAATTTGATATGGAGAAATAATTCGTCTTGGATTGTTACCATTGAGCTTAGAAGATGAAAAGAATATTTTGGCCGATAATTTAAATAATTGTAATATACCTACGCTTTATAAGACCGAGTATTATTAAATTAATATTAAATTTCTTAGTTTTCTTAAAGTTATATACATTGCCTCATCTAACTGAACTAGTTTTTGGCTTACCTCGTTCTTATGATGTGATTTTAGAAAGAAAAAAACTTTGTGGTTTGCTCGACGCAATAATGATTCTTTTTGGCCTTCTCTCCTGCAATGACTTTTTTGTAAAGGATCTTTCTTGTAAATTTTTACGTTTTTGTGGACAAATTTCATTTAGCATGTATTTATTACATCCAATTGCAATGTCATGGGTGAATATATATGTGCCCTCTATTGAATTCCAAGTAGCAATTAAAGAAATAAACGAATTAGATAAGGGTAATATGATGTTGGATGCGGTGATGTTGTCATTTGTGGCAACTATTATGTTAGCATAGCATGGTTTTACTTTAAACGTGTTGAAAAGCCTTTTATGAATTTAGCTAATTATATTGCAAGAGATGGTTAAGTGAAGACTGGTTCTAAAAAAAAAAAAATAAATAATCTATTTCATGATTTATCATGAAATAATAAATTTAGTAATTTTATCACTTATGTTATTAATAATTTCTTTTAATCAACAATTTTACAATTATATATTAACTTTACTTTTTAACTTTTAGTACACTCTATAGTCATCCCATATAAAAATTTTCTTTAGAAACACATTTATCTTAAAATCGACTACTGTATTATAGCTATAGAAAAACCTCTATACATATAAGTACAACTCTTTATAACATGATGCACTTGATGGGTTTTTATTGTTCATATTTTAAAAGCTTGGACCAACCCGTGAAAACTGATAAATTTTGTAATATTTGCATTTAACATTTATTGTATAGTTTTCTTTAACGCTAATTATTATCGATGCTTGATGTCGGTTTAGATTGTAATTAATTTTTCATAATACGATTTCGTGTTATTAAAATTAATTAAGCCATAAATGTATCAAAGTTTACTAAGGTAAAATCAGTATTTTGAATTTGCATCGAATAGAATAATATTTTCCATTTGTTTCATCTACAATTCAAGCATCCATACTTCTGCTCGAAGCCGATCACCAGAATTAGACTTTTATTAATAGGAAAAAAACAGAACAATCATTAATTATTATCAATGTCATTGGACATATTGAATAAGTAAAGATTTGTGAAGTTATTCGTTTTGACGCTAGATCTATTTTATAATAGGTTGAATTTACATAATTTAATAATAGCGATAGTTTAATCAATCTATATTCTTACCTATAATTATACACTAGTTGTATCGTTTTTATTTTAACAGTTTTAACCACGATACGTATATATTAAAATCAATTTTATCACGTAACAGGTAATAAAACCCAAAACATAGTGATGATAAAACGTTTAGTCAGCATCCCTATTGTTAATCACTTATAACTTGGAGGCAAAAGGGATTAGGCGAATATATTGTAGAGCAAAACGAAAAACTTCAAGTTTGCTTAGTAGGCTTATCCACGTTTCATAGAAGGGGGTCGTGTGCAGTCACGTACATAGAGCCAATAAAATTATTTGTTTTGATCGACACGGATCAGCCCGACGAAGAAAAAAAAGCGAAAAAAAGTGAAAAACGTCAAAAATACAAGAAACAAGTGTCTAAACTAAGGTGTCTGGCATAGTTGCAAAGGCATGCCAATGGTGGCATGCCAAATTTGTTTTTGCATGCCACTGGGTACAATAAAAAACTATATTAGACTTATAGCATTATGATTATTAATAATATAATATTTTATGGCACAAATTTTGACAAAGGGCATGCCAAATTTTTTTTTGCGTGCCGGACACCCTAGTCTAAACCTACCTTGGGGCATTAATAAAAAATGTCGGAGAGGCAATTTTACTATAACACCTATCCTCACCTTAACTCTACTCTAACCC